ATTATTGTACAGGGTGGTCCACGTAAGGTGACCCATATACTTATCTCAGAAACTACTGGACTCACAAAAAATTTGTAAGAAACAAATATTCACGAAGTAAAAAATATTTTTAAAATATTATATTTTCATTTATACAGGGTGTTCGGTTTTCCTTGGGACGATACCAACTTTCTTATTTTCAATGGAACACCCTGTATTTTTTTGCATTTTTGGATTCTACCCACTCTTTTAGGTATACTTTGTAAATATATTAATTAAGAAAATGTTAATACTTTTTGAGTAAAATTAGGATTTATTAAAATTTCTCTAAATGTAGACACTCGCTAAAAGTTAAAAATAATCCACTAAAAGTTATTATTTTTTATATTATGTAGTATCCATCTCTTTAATAATAAGTAAGCTATAAGTTAATTATTATATTTTTTGGAAAATATCATACAGGGTGTTTTCTATGTCCCGTTGAAAATAGCGATTTTAAAGGTTTAAAATCTTGTTTTTCTTCAATGGAACACCCTATATATTTTTGCATAATTGGATAGAATAAGTAATTACCTTTTATTTTATATATATATGTCCTATACCTAAACCTAACAGAAAAAAAAATATTCGCATTTTTCACAATTAGTAGCTTTTTTCCAATTACCTTAGTTAAATTTTCATTATTCAAATAAATAAATTTCAATAACAACAAATAAAAATGCTTTTATATATAAATATATATTACTATAATAATTACCATACGCGCAAAGCTACTAATTTTGTAAAATGCGAATATTTTTTTTAGGTGATCCACGTAAGGTGACCCATATACTTATCTCAGAAACTACTGGAGTCACAAAAAATTTGTAAGAAACAAATATTCATGAAGTAAAAAATATTTTTAAAATATTATATTTTCATTTATACAGGGTGTTTGGTTTTCCTTGGGACGATACCAACTTTCTTATTTTCAATGGAACACCCTATATTTTTTTGCATTTTTGGATTCTACACACTCTTTTAGGTATACTTTGTAAATATATTAATTAAGAAAATGTTAATACTTTTTGAGTAAAATGAGGATTTATTAAAATTTCTCCATATGTAGACATTCGCTAAAAGTTAAAAATAAGCAACTAAAAGTTATTATTTTTTATATTATGTAGCATTCATCTCTTTAATAATAAGTAAGCTATAAGTTAATTAATTTATTTTTTGGAAAATATTATACAGGGTGTTTTCTTTGAATAATGAAAATTTAACTAAGGTAATTGGAAAAAAGCTACTAATTTTGAAAAATGCGAATATTTTTTTTTCTGTTAGGTTTAGGTATAGGATATATATATATAAAATGAAAGGTAATTACTTATTCTATCCAATTATGCAAAAATATATAGGGTGTTCCATTGAAGAAAAACAAGATTTTAAACTTTTAAAATCGCTATTTTCAACGGGACATAGAAAACACCCTGTATGATATTTTCCAAAAAATATAATAATTAACTTATAGCTTACTTATTATTAAAGAGATGGATACTACATAATATAAAAAATAATAACTTTTAGTTGGTTATTTTTAACTTTTAGCGAGTGTCTACATTTAGAGAAATTTTAATAAATCCTAATTTTACTCAAAAAGTATTAACATTTTCTTAATTAATATATTTACAAAGTATACCTAAAAGAGTGGGAAGAATCCAAAAATGCAAAAAAATACAGGGTGTTCCATTGAAAATAAGAAAGTTGGTATCGTCCCAAGGAAAACCGAACACCCTGTATAAATGAAAATATAATATTTTAAAAATATTTTTTACTTCGTGAATATTTGTTCCTTACAAATTTTTTGTGACTCCAGTAGTTTCTGAGATAAGTATATGGGTCACCTTACGTGGACCACCCTGTACATTTAATGTAATCTTTAGCTAATAAATAAATCAGATTCTAAAAAAGTGAGGTTAGGCCGCTTTGATGTTGAATTAAATTGACCTATATAAAGTGCTTTGAAGATAAAATGTTGTATGCCATTCGGCCAAGAAGTGTCTTTTTGTGCTTCGCTCAATTGTAGGCCTCCGCTACGCGTCGGCCTTCAAACTTTGAGCTTAGCACAAAAAGCCTTACTTCTTAACCTAATGACATAAATAACTATTAAATGTAACACCCTGTCTGTTTTTCCATAATCTAATAGGAAATTAAAAAATCATTTCAATTGATGTAACTATTTCATATACATACCTAAATTTAATAATTTCAGAGATATTTAACAATATCCAATTTTAGACCCAGAATAGTCAAGAAGAGTTAAGTCATTTAATGTGGTTTTATTGGTTTCCCTTTATAAACATAAAAGGGTGATTCTCAAAATAACTACACTTTCGGTTTATTATTTTTTTAATACTAAAAAGTTTGGTAATATTATTACAAGAGCATTTTTGTAAAGCTTTAGTTAAATCCTAAACTAAAATAAGATTGATATTGCATGCAAACCTTAATTTTTCTATTTATGGGTAAATTATGTCCACAGAAAAGACGTCCACTGAATGGACATCTATGTATATTATTCTCTATAAGAAAGGTAAATTTTAGGTTATGCCTTCGCATTTGTCATGTGCCAAAAATAAAAACTTTGACAATAATAATGACAATAATTAGAAAATAATTCAATACTTACTGTTTGAAATATAATTGTAACAGAAAGGACAGCCTATGCTTCTACACTGGAGCCTCGTACATAAACATGAACGCTTCTTTACAACCTTTCAAAAAAGAACTGACAAGGGCGACTTAAATAACAAATGACAGGTTTTTTAATGACATAAAATTAACGGTTAACGTGAGTGGCGCGAAATACTTTTGAAATTTTGCACTTACAAATAAGTCCTCGGAATGGATCGAAACTGGTAACGTATAAATGACTAAACTACAATATTAAATTAAAAAGAATAAAAAGGAATATGAACCATATCTATGTATTTTTGGGGTATTTAATAATAATGGCAATTTTTTAGGTTTTTTTAATATGCAGGCTTTTCACTACATTAACTGAAACTTACCAACACGATATACCTAGTCACGTTCCACGGAAAGGACAATATCTCTATTCAGATCAGTTTTTTGGGCGGTATTTTTTTTCTTATTTTTTTTTTTACTTAAAGTACTGTTAGTTAACGTTGTGTACTTTAAAAATGTTACTTATTTTTACCATTTTTTTTTAATATGGGAGAAAAAAACACACGTCACGCAAAGATTGTAGTTATTTTGAGAATAACCCAAAAATGGTATTGGAATTATTTATGTTATCAGTTTTTTACTGTTTTTAATATTTCTCTCTCTCTTAGGTACATTTGAAATATATATTCGTAGGCTATATTTCTTATTTTTATCTTCTTTAAACCTCTGTTTATACAGAGAATAAATATTATTTATTTATATTTATGATTAAAACTCATTGTATATACCCCATGAAAAAAAGAATTGTACCAGTTATATACCCATTCTTTAAACTAAAAATTCATTACAGATTGGATATATTTCATTTGCTTGTATTAATACAAACAGTTGAATTTTTTACAATGATTTGGTCAATTAAGTTGCTCTTGTAATTTAATTTACATTTATTTTAAATAAAAAACGATCTTGGCACAAGATATTTATCCACCCTGAGCCCTCCTATATTGCTTATGGTGGTGTTAAAAAACTTGTGATAGGCAACCACTCAAAACTTGTGATGCCAGTTCGTATTTTTTGCCGTAGATCGCAATGCTAAACGCTAAACATTACACTGGACCTAATTCATAATATTTATAATAAATAATAAATGCAAAATATTTCCTTTTTTACAAATTTTTAATAAAAATTATAATAAAAAGTGTTGCGTCAAAAGCTGACACTATACTTAATTTTTTTAATTACTGATCATTTTTGATTATTTGACATAAATAATTAATAAGGTTTAATTTATTATTCAAAAAAGACTTAACCACAATACTTTTATAAAATATCGCAATTTGTATTACACTATTTAATAAACTTATATAAACCTACGATGTACATAAGAGTAAAAGGTTTTTTCTACGACCACTATATAAAAGTCACTTTTCATGATGGCATCGTTGCTTAGAAAATGAATCTTTTCATTGGCAAGGCAAAACAGTAACGTAACGTAAAGTGACATTTCTGTGTGAAAAGTGACAGGTCTGTGTGAAAAGAACCGGAAAGCATCGTTTGACATTCAGCTATCAAAAAAGTTTTTAGGTTATTTTGTTTTGTATTTAAAAATAATAAAAAATAAAAGGGTCGCAGAAAAAACATTCTGTTATACTTGTGAGAAAAGCTTTCTTCAACTTAAAAACTCGCATGAAAAAGTCGCTTTTCAACACTTGTAAAACAAATAACTATTATGCAATCGTTATTTAGGTTACTAGTTTAATAATGGTCATGTAAAGTTACTATATATATATATATATATATATAACTATAGATTTACTATATATAACTATAGATTTACTATAAACTTATATGACCATTACAAAACTCGTAAACTAAATGGCAATTTTAATAAAACTTGTTATCCTCTTATATATTTTTAACTAAGTATTACAAATCGTTTATTGAGTTGGAAATTTATTAATCAGTCTGAAGCGCTAAAAACTCATTTTTTTACTTATTGTTGAACCAAAGATTTCATTGAATTTTTAAGTTTGGTTTAAGTTTTACACCTGGTCAACTTTCTTCTTCTTTTATGTACATAAATATAAATAATTTAATCCCGGCGCATTCGCCATTTCTGATAAATCATTTTTACCAAATACCAAACAACAAAATAAGGACTTTTGGTAACATAACCTTGTCTATTTTTTTATAGAAGTAAAAAATGATATTTTTTTAACCTTAATAAAGATTAGAGATTGGATAAGTTTTAAAGTCAAATTAATATTTTAATATTGGTTAAAACCAGAAATACTGGCTAGAGCTCTTGAGTATCGAGAAAATATTTAAATACAATTTTTATATAAAAAAAACAATCACAGCTTTACAGTATACTTAGTATTTAGTATTAATCAAGTTGTTAATATAATTTGAGACATTTACAATTTATTTAATAACTTAATAATATATTTATAAGCATTTTCATACACATGTTTTCCCACATGAAAGTCGACATGATTAAGCCCACGTGTAATTTTTCTTCCATAAATTTTGGTTGAAGTTTGAAGCTTACTCCACAGTAGATCATTATCCTTAGAAAATAAATTTACAATACAAATATATAAACAATAATGAATAAAAACCTTTGGATTACAAAAAGCATCGTTTTTACTTGTTATAAAATAATTTGGGATCTCCATATTTTCCAAAGGGTATTCAGGAGGTGTAGCTGATTTGTAACGTATTAAATTTTCGGCGATACCATAATCAAACCTTCTAAAATATTCTCCACCATTGTTAACTAGTTGTGCGTAGTGCCAAACTACATTTAAACCGGAACCTCTTGGACTTCTCGAAAGAAACAAAGGAAACATTGTCTAAAAGGTCTTGTTGGTTAGAGAGGTTAGCATAGTAAAAAACGTACCAAAATGCTGCTATTAATTAATTAGTCTTAAGACTCACAGGGTTAAACTCATAGGGTGTCCATCCATCTGCTATACTAAGCAGAATTACAATAAAACGTTTAAATGGAAAATAAACAATTGATTTAGCTATCAATTCAGTTATGGAGTTTTTGGTGAAAAATCCGCCAATACCAAGTGTTTTAAAAAGGGGCTGTAACATTAAAATTAATATAAATCTGTAAATGAATTATTAGACTAAACATATTAGCATATACACGACCAATAAGAATATACGAACTTGTGTTTAGTAAGGTTTGAAGTTTAAACTAATGATAAAAATTTCGAATTGAAATTATAGTTTTTGCAAGGCGCATTTTTAGTTAAATTATGACATTAAGGCATCATCTGTTCTTATTTTTATTTATGAGAAAGGAAGAAGCTTAATCGTAAATTTTCATTATCGGTGATTTAATTATTGACCAATTATTTCTTCACAAAATTTGATGTTATTGCTCTGGACAACCTTTATTTTCACCAGAACAATTTTATTCTTAAACCTTTTGGTTTATATATTTTTTACCCTTATAATGTGTTCTAGTGGTGCGAGATATCTTGTTCCAGTAGTGAGGTGCTTAAAATATACTGGAGAAGCCATTTGTATGAATACTTTAAAGTATTTCTTAACATGTTTAGGCATAACAGAAGCATATATTATTGAAGATGTGCACGACATTGAATGGCCAATAAATATTAATTTGGTATTATTGGATACTTCCGATATTTTTTCAGCAAATGCTGGGTAATCGTAAAGACCAATTTCTTCAAAGCTAAAAATATACCCTTAATAAGACAACAAATAAAACAAATTAAATTTACCTAAATGACCAGTACTTAAAATCATGTACTGTTAAATTTACATGCTTTTCTGAAAAGTATGTCCCTCTATGGTTGGGTAGCCATACTTCATACCCCAATTCCCATAAAATAAAGGCTAAAATTATTTAAAACAAATTATACTATGTGTAACACCCACAGTTTGTCAAGTAAAAGCGTAGACGGGTAAATATAAGTATGGACCACCAAATAAGGTATACCTGATAGAACAAGACTTATAAATTGACATAATTTATAAATGCTACCTGAATTTCCTATAGACAGGAGTGCAAACTTTTAAATTAAATTTAGACCAAATTTTTGTTAAAATTCATATTTCATGGCACTTTAGGGGCTGAGGTTAACTTTATTATAAATTGCGAAAAAGTGAGGTTAAAATTAAAATTGGCTATAAATCCTTATTTCTGTTCGTCGTAGATAAAGTATAGTATACAACTCGTTTTATAAACTTCTCCAGACACTCGTTTCTATTAAACACTCGCTCGCAAGCTTTACTTGGGCTTTTAAACCTTTTTTCCAGTTTTTTTAAATTATAATTTTTCATAAACCTATAATTTTTAAAAATTAAAAATTTTGAAAATATGTTTATTTTTTTTTATAAATAATGCATTAAAATTGAATTTTAAAAAATGTTTTTTTTTTAATTTTTAAAAAATGTTAAAGAAAATATTTATTATTATATTTTTACTTTAAATTACTGGAAAAACCTCTATAGGATTTAAAAGAAACCCGTGAAGTTTTATTATTAAAAACCATATTACCTAAAGACCTATTTCCTGGGCTAACCCATACAACTCCGTCTGCCATAATTGGATGCTGAAGCATAATAACGCCTTTGGGATTTTTTCTTACAATTCTAAACAAAGTTAAAATGTAGCCGTCCTTAGTGGTGACAGTATAATTTTCGTAGTTTCCTTCTCCCAAATGCCTGTCAATAACTTCGGGCTAAAATTCCACATAAATTATTAATAGATAATATTTCTTATTGATAATTTTTACTGTGTTTGCAAAAACGTCGGGATCATGGTAACAATTTGGTGAAATAGGTTTGGTATAATAACTGTTCCAGTCCGTACATACATTATTGTCTAAACCTCCTTCAACGTTAACAAAAAAATAAAACAATAAAACTGTAAAATTTACAGTTTTATTTAATAATTTAAATAAAAACATTTTTAACTAAAATAAAGCATATAATATTTTTTAATTATTAATAAAATTAATCTTACCTACAATCCGTTTCTTTTATTCTTATATTCTTGGTATACATAAGTTTAGGGACTCAAATATATTTATATAATAATAGTTTTACGAGGTATTTAAAAAACAAATTAAAAGGAATTCGTTAAAACAATATGATAAAAACAATGTAAAATATAAATATCATTCATATTAGATTATAGTAATTATTTGTGCTACCTAATTTGCATACTATTAAACATGTTTGAATGATAAGAAATGTTCTAAAAAAATTCATTTTTAGTAAATCGTTTAGTACTATCGTTTTAAAGCGTAGAAAAATTAAAAAATACACAAATTTTAATAATTAATTAATTTTTTCAGAAACTTCGGAAAATTGGAAAAAAAACATTACTAAAGATAATACAGAAAAAATTACAAAACTAATTTTATTTTAAGTTTCCCATTTTTTCTGTTTATTTCCGTTTACCCGGGTTTTCGGAAACTTTAAAATACTAATTGGCACATATTCTCAATTTATGTATAACAAATTAACATTTATATTGTATACAATATAAATGTTAATTTGTTAAAATAGTTTGTATAAAAATATATCTTGAAAACTGGGCGTCTTTGCGTCATTTGCTTGAAATGTACATAATTTAAGATTTAAAATACCTACTTAAAAATGGTTCAAATTTAATTTTTAAACCCATAAATTCTCCCATTTAATTTATTAACTTAAAACCACGTGCTAAAGTTAGCTTTAAGTTAAAATTGAAAAAAAAAGTTTCAAAATTTTTGACAGCTAGCTATATGCCATTATAAATAAAATTGGCTTTAAATCTCTTGGGGAAGTTAAATAATAGTATATTATGTATCAAGTTTGATAAACGCAATTTTAAATTAATGCAATTTGGTAAAATAAGTTTCGTATATTAACTGTTCCAGTCCATACATTTTTATTCAAAGCAGCTTTAGCTTTTATAGTAAAATATAATAATACATAAATATATAGTTAACAATATAGCAAAATATTTATATATAAATATTTTGCCATATCTTACTAAGTAACACTAATATTACTTTATTGGTCTATATTTTACTTTTTTTAAACAATAAAATTTAAGCAAAAAAGCATTGCCTACCTTAGAAAACTACAAATTAATAATTATTCGCTAAAAGGTAAAATGCGATAAAATTGGCAACATTGCGATCCGTTTCGCGAGAATCACACTTTTTATAAAAAGTTTTGTTAAAAATTAATTAATTAAGAGGTAAAATAAATTTAAAAATTATAAAATTTGTTTAAAAATATCAAATTATTGAGTACCTACTAAACTAACAGTCCGCCAGTGAATAACAGATTAACAGAAAAACTATCCTTTTCTAGTAAAACATACATTGATTAAAATCACACATTGAAGTAACTTATTCTTAAGTTATATTTAATTAAAAAATAACTTGCCTTTAATAAAAAAAGTACGCCATTGATAAATACATTTGTGTAAATTATTTTTCTAGATAACATTTACACCAATAAAATTAGTATTTTTTTTAGTATTTATATTAGATATACAATGTTTGCTAAGCAGGGCCGTGCGCAGGATTTTCTTATAGGTGGAGTTTTATTATTAAATTGTTAAACATATACACATTTAAAATAAAACTCTCTTACACAATTCCCGCACCAAAAAATGCAAATTTTCTTTGGGTAAATTTTGAGTTGTATAATATTTTATTTTATTTTAAGACTTTCAATGGGGGAGTTTAAACCCCCCCTTGCGAACGGGCATGATGCTAGTAGTCCAAAATGTTATTAAGGGCAGAATACACACCAAAAATTGTATTTGCAAATTAGGGAACAATAAAACTTCTAAACAAAGTATAGTATAGTATAGTATTGAACTTAGGACAAACAGTCTTACTTCTCAGCCTAATGACATAAATAACATTACCAAGCTGTGACTATATAGCGTTTTAGTCACGGGCTGAAGTTAGCAACAGTATCTTTTTAGTCACGAGCTGAAGTTAGCTTTATTATAAATTGGGAAAAAGTGAAGTTAAATTCTTCTGACAATCATTAGATATCAAGTGTTTAGCAAATAAAATTGGCCTTAAATTCTTCTTTAAAACTCCTACTACTAATTTTTTGATTTTTATAATCAAAACTTTACCACAAAATAATAATTTATTAGAAAAGCAAAAAATTTTATCTTGCTTTTTTTAATTTAATTATTAGGTATTGTGTCTCTTTTTACTAAAGAAATCGTACGCTGCTGATTTTAACAATACCTATGTTTTAAACTTAAGATTGTAAAAGTAAAATGTCAATGGCTATGAAAGCTTGACCTAGACCAGGGGTTCCCAAACTTGTTTAATTCCCGGCGCACATTGGTCTGAGAGGTAAATTTACGGGGCGAAAATTATTCTTTAAATATTTTTCCCAACACGTGACTTTTTATATTTATGTATTGAGGAAGGGAAGGAGAGTCTAGCCATATTTTTAAGAAATAAAATTGGCTTTAAATTATATTTTGTGTTTGTCGTAGATAAAGTATAGTATGCAACTCGTTTTATAAACTTCTCCAGAAACTCGTTTTTATTAAACACTCGCTCGCAAGCTTCGCTTGTGCCTAATAAAACACGTAACTAAAATGGCGTTTTATATTGATACATAATATAATATTATAAAATAACAAAAAGAATTCGTATAACTGTAACAATTTAATAAACCAACAATATTTTCATTAACAATTTTGATTTCATTTAAGCATTTCTTAATTCTTACTTATACATTAGACGTTACTTTTCTTGACTTTTCTAGGTCTAATATTTGAAACTGTTAAATATCTCTTTTTAATAATTCATTAAGGGTGGGATATATTTCATTTGCTTGTATTAATACAGTGTTAATTTTTTTACAATGAGTTGGTCAATTAAGTTGTTCTTGTAATTCGATTTACATTTATTTTAAATAAAAAAAACAATCATGGTAGAAGGAATGTATCAACCCTCCTATATTTCTTATGGTAGTGTTAAAAAACCTGTGATAGGCAACCATCCAACCACTTAAAACTAGTGTTGCCAGGTTCATATTTTTGCCGTAGATGGCAATGCTAAACCCTAAACATTAAACCCGATCTAATTCACTTTTATAATATTTAATGCCAACAAAATTTTTAATAAAAACTTATCATTTTTGTTTATTTGACACATAAATAATAATAATAATAATAACTTTTATTTTTTTTATTAAAAAAAGTTAAAGACTTATAAGTCTGGTTATAAACACAATAGTTTTATTAAACAGTTAACCGTAATTTGTATTACATATTTAAATAACTTATATAAACCTACTGGTAACTGTAGGTAGCCAATGTATATAAGAGTAAGGTTTTATGCAATCGTTATTTAGTTTACGCGTTTTATAATGGTTATATAAAGTTACTATAACCTTTGTAGGTTATATAAAATGTTTGTAAAAACAATTAGGTATATTACCTAAATATAACTAGAGGTTACTATAAACTTATATGGCCATTATAAAACTCGTAAACTAAATGGCAATTTTAATAAAACTTGTTATACTCTTATATACTGTAACTACCCTTACAAAACCTTTAAATAATTTATCCTTACCTTAGGTATTACACATTGTTTATTGGGTTGTTAACTCATTAATAAGTTAGACAAAAAAATTAGTCTGAAGCGACAAGAACACACTTTTTTTACTCTTTGTTGAACCAAAGATTTTATTGAATTTTTAAGTTTTGTTTAAGTCTTAATCCCGGCGCATTCGCCATCTCTGATAATCATGCATTTTTACATTTAGTACTACTATCAACCAAATCAGACGTTTATTAACATAACCTAATGTATTTATTTTTCATAAAAAGTAAAAAATAATATTTTTTAACCTAAATAAAGATTACAGATTGGATAAGTTAAAGACAAATTAATATATTTAATAAAACCAAAAATACTGGCTTGAGCTCTTGAGTATAAAGAAAATATTTAAATACCATTTTTATATAAAAAAACAAGCACAGATTTACAGTTTTTAATATAATTTAAAACATTTACAATTTATTTAATAACTTAATAACATATTTATAAGCATATTCATACATATGTTTTCCCACAAAAAAGTCCACATGATTAAGCCCACGTGTAATTTTTCTTCCATAAATTTTGGTTGAAGTTTGAAGCTTACTCCACAGTAGATCATTATTCTAAAAAATCAAATTTACAATAAAAATATATAAACAATGATAAATAAAAACCTTTGAATTACAAAAAGCATCGTTTTTACTGGTTATAAAATAATTTGGAATCTCCATATTTTCCAAAGGGTATTCAGGAGGTGTAGCTGATTTGTAACGTATTAAATTTTCGGTAATACCATAATCAAATCTTCTAAAATATTCTCCACCATTGTTAACTAGTTGTGCGTAATGCCAAACTACACTTAAACCGGAACCTCTTGGAACTCTCGAAAAAACCAAAGGAAACATGGTCTAAAAGGTCCTGTTAGTTAGAGAGGTTAACACAATAAAATACGTACCAAAATTCTGATATTAATTAATTAGTTTCAAGACTTACAGGATTGTACTCATGAGGTGTCCATCCAGCTACTATACTAATCAAAATTACAATAAAACGTTTAAATGGAAAATAAACAATTGATCGAGCTAACTCTTCAGTTATGGAGTTTTTGTAGAAAAATCCGCCAATACCAAGTGTTTTAAAAAGGGGCTGTAACAATAAAATTAATATAAATGAGTAAATGAATTGTTATACTAAATACAAAATATATACAAATATATATTTGCATTTTCACAAATAATATAAAGGGCTGACCAATACGAATTTACGAAATTTTGTTTAGTCAGGTTTAAGTTTAAACTAATTATAATTGGAGGTCTGTTCTTCGAATAAAAAATAATATTTTTTTTTGCATCATCTAATCCTATTTTTGTTAATTAAATAGAAAGAAGCTTAATCGTAAATTAAAAACATTATTATTGTTAGTTTATATTTTACCCTTATAATATGTTCTAGTGGTGCGAGATATTTTGCAACAGTAGTAAGGTGTTTGAAATACACTGGAGTAGCCATTTGTATGAATACTTTAAAGTATTTCTTAACATGTTCAGGCATAACAGAAGCATATATTATTGAAGATGTGCACGCCATTGATTGACCAATAAATATTATTTTGGTATTATTGGATACTTCCGATATTTTTTCAGCAAATGCTGGGTAATCGTAAAGACCAATTTCTTCAAAGCTAAAAATATTCCCTTAACAAAACAAAAATAAAACAAATTTACCTTACCTAAATGACCAGTATTTAAAATCATGTACTGTTAAATTTACATGTTTTTCTGAAAAGTATGTCCCTCTATGGTTGGGTAGCCATACTTCATACCCCAATTCCCATAAAATAAAGGCTAAAATTATTTAAAACAAATTTTATTAAACTGTATGTTATACCTACAGTTTGTCAAGTAAAAGCGTAGGCGGGCAATGTATGGAAAAATTTTGTAGTACCACCAAATAAAATATACCTGATAGAAGAAGACTCACATCGATGGTTATAACTGGTTTACAAATTAAAATTAAAAAAATGTACCTTCGCTGCCACTATTTTTTTCTAATGTATTGTGACCTGTTAAACTTAAAAATAAAAAAAAAAAAAATTTTATGGCAAGGTTTTTGAGATAAAATTTTTTCTTTAATATTTTGGTTCTTTAAGAAAGCAGCTTTACAATTTGGGTCATATCTCGGGTTAGAAATGGCCAATCTGGTTGAAAAAAGTTTAAAATTAAACATATTTGAGTCGCCAACAAATATCACCTTATTAGTGCCCAATCAGTTAATAAGCTTAAGTTCAATGGGCTCAAATATTGGAAAAAGTCGTTTTTTTGGAGAAAAATGAGAATGTAACATTATTTTCTTTGCCAAGGATGAATACAAATCAACAAAATATGTCAATTTTTAAATTATCTACGTGGAGTTCAAACTGTTATAAAGAAAACAAGATATTTTTAAAACAAATCTATTGATAATTATTATAATTAAAGGGGTTAATGCAAAAAGTGGACAGGTAAATTTTTTTTAGAAATTAAGTTTTTTACAAAAAAAAGGTTCTATTTGCCTAATAGAACCTTTTTACTGTTAAATAAATTTTATTTTATATTTTAATATTAAAATACAGTGTGTTCCTTTTAAAACTAACCCCCCTAAATTCTCGGAAACTAGAAGTATTTTAAAAAACGCAGAGACAGATAAAGTTTTATATCGAGGGGGAAAACTTTTTAAGGCAAAATTTGGTTTCCCACCTTTACCTTCTGCGCCCCGGAGTTACCCCCTTAAGAATTTAAATAGAGAAGGGGTACAGAGTACTACATTATTTTAAAGGTCTTGAAAATCCCTATTAAACGGCATTTTATTTTTTTTAAATTGGTCAGTTCATTTTTTAGATATCGTGGGTTGAGTATTATAATGTTCTAACAGCACTTTTGGCGCGAAATCGGCTTTTTTGATAGAAAAATAGTACATAAAATTTCTGTTCTATGTATATAAAAATGCCTGTTTAATTTAATACACAAACTAAAAAAAAGCATTATTAAATTGTTCTATCGCACTTATTTAAAAACGGTTTAAAATTATAATATCCTAACAGACCAACCAATGAGAGAAGAGAATTTTGATCTGTTAGAACAATATAATTTTTGCTGTTTCAGTTTTGTATGCAAGTAATAATCACGTGGTTGTGCGGTGCAATTAAAAAAAAAAGAATACGTAGGTATGTTCTTATTTAAGGAATACTTCTTAGAACCCTAAAGTTTTGGAATTCTTTAGAACTAAAAACTTTTAGTTTTAAAGAATTTTGTATGCTGTTAGAACAAAATCTGATGTTTTTTGTAAAATTTTCGTTTTCAATAAAAAAAAATGTTCTATCAAAAATTGTTTATTTTGTAAAACCCAGTATTGGAAGAAATAAGTTCAAATAGGGACAATACATTTTTTAATTCTTAAGGATATGAGTCCAAAACCAGTATTTAAAATTATAAAAATCTTTACAAACGGTATTAGAATGAGCCTGGAATATTTAATCGCCTTTTCCCAACCATTTCATTTTGGATTTATAGAACAATATACGAGTAATACTCAACCCACGATATGTACAAATTATTAAGGGGTGTCATAACTTTGACATTTATCCATAGAATTACTACTTGTAGATATTCAAAAAATGGGCATATTTTAATGATTTTTGCTTCTTTTTGGTAAAATAGTAAATACTTAATTCTAATTTTGTCCAAAAAATTGACTTTTTCTCGATATTTGGCCCCATTGCACCTAAACTTATTGACTAATTGGGCATTTATACAATTACATTTGTTATTATGTTAATTAGGTTTAATTTGACATCTGTTGTAATCAAATTGGCCATTTCAAACTCGAGATATATCCCAAATAGTAAAGCCGGCATCGAAAAATCAAAGACAATTTTTTATTTGGAAAATCTTGCCATAAAAAAAAATTTTATTGTCATTTTCGAGTTTAGCAGGCCAAAATACATCAGAAAAAAATAGTCGCACTCAAGGTACATTTTGACTGTAAACCAGTGTTATTTGACAAAACATCGTAAGCGACCAAACCTAAATTTTACAGGACAGATTTTTTTGTGTGGGAGCTTTATTTTTAAAGTTATTTATCTGAAAACTGGTGAGGCATTATTTTATTAATGTAGAATTCAAATATTTAAGTAAGATCGAATCCAATCTAAAATTTTCATTAAATTTTGTGGCATACGATATTTTATAAGAACATCTTTGGAAAAATGTAAAATTAGTCTTGTCGCTTAATTTACATTTTCGTTACTTTATGGGATATAGATTTGATGATTACTTTTGTCAAAACATCGTCAGCGACATTTATTTTTTTACTTTTATTATTAAATAAAAAAAAATTACAAAAAAATTAATTTATAAAATTTCCCAACGATATTTTGACAATGTTTGAAAATGAAATTCTACATTAGTTTTCTTCTAATGTAGAATTCAAAAATTTAAGTAAGATCGAATACAATCTAAAATTTTCATTAAATTTTGTGGCATACGATATATATATATATATATATATATATATATATATATATATATATATATATATATATATATATATATATATATATAAGAACATGTTTAGGAAAATGTAAAATTAGTCTTGTTGCTTAAGTTACATTTACTTTACTTTGTGGGATATAAATTTGATGATTACTTTTGTCAAAATATCGTTAGCGACATTTATTTTTTTACTTTTATTATTAAATAAAAAAAATACAACAAAATTAATTTATAAAATATCAACAACGATATTTTGCCAAACAATTTTTGAAAATGAAATTCTACTTTAGATTTCTTTTAAACAAACTAACGATTTTTATTCACAAACCAGTATCTAACCCATGAAGCCTACACAAGGAGCCCGAACTTAGTAGGGGAAATTGAAGAAACCTGCTCTCTAAATTGTACGTAAAAACAATTATAATTAGGATAACTATAAATAATGCAATGAAAAAAAAAGAATTATAAGCTTTTGATCAAATAAAATATGGTTTTAAAACTTGCAATCACCACGATGCAGGTGTACTCACGAATAAACTGTTTAGAGCGGGAATAACGCCTTGATAGATCAAGGCGGGATCACAATATTATCGTAAGCGACATAATGTTAAATCGCAAACGCCATGTCTTGAAGTTGCTTACGTTATAAATCGGTAACAAATTTAAGAAAAGAGGCGCTTACAATAATAAAAATATTCAAATTCACCAATATTAGATTATAAAATTGGGTATTATGTTAACATGTGCAGCTTATTGTAACTGACACTTTCATAAAATAAAATGTAATTCAACAAAATTGTCGCTTACGATGTTTTGTCAAATAACCATCGATATGTCTTAATAAGGCATCGTGTCATCTTTAGCAACAAAGCATAATTTCTATTAAATTGACGTTATATATAAAAAGGGCCACAAAATAATACAAATATTTATATTCGGTATAGACAGGGATGCAAACTTTAAAATTTTATTTAGATGATTTTATTGTTAAAAATTCATGTTTTTGTACAATAACCGATTAAAATGTTTAGTTATTTGAAATTATAATTTTTCTTATATTCTTTGAAAAAACAATAAAATTTTGAAAATATTTTTAATTTTTTTTTAAACACTGCAATAAAATTAATGATTTAAAATGAACCCGTTGAGTTTTAAATGAAAACAATTGGTTTTATTATTAAGAACCATTTTACCTAAAGACCTATTTCCTTGGCTAACCCATATAACTCCGTCTCCTGTAATTGGATGCTGAAGCATAATAACGCCTTTGGGATTTTTTCTTATAATTCTAAACAAAGTTAAAATATAGCCGTCCTTAGTGGTGACCGTATAATTTTCGTAGTTTCCTTCTCCTAAATGCCTGTCAATAACTTCGGGCTAAAATTCCATATAAAATATGAATAGATAATATTTTTTATTTGATAATTTTTACTGTGTTCGCAAAAACGTCGGGATCATGGTAACAATTTGGTGAAATAGGTTTGGTATAATAACTGTTCCAGTCCGTACATACATTATTGTCTAAACCTCCTTCAACGTTCACAAATAAATAAAACAATAAAACTGTAAAATGTACAGTTTTATTTAATAATTTAGATAGAAACATTTTTAACTAAAATAAAGCATTTATTATTTTTAAAATAGAAATAAAATTAATCTTACCTGCAATTCTTATATTCTTGGTACATTGGAGAATCCAATAGTTTTACGAGGTGTCTAAATAACAATTTAAAATAAATTCGTTAAAACAATATGATAAAAACAATGTAATATACATATTAGATTATATTAATTATTTGTGCTACATAATTTGCATACAATTAAACAAATTTGAGTGATAAGAAATGTTTAAAAAAATTAATTGGTACTATCCTTTCAAAGCGTCGGAAAAAACTTGTTTTTTAGTTCTTTTTTGTTAGAAGTTGGAAAATTGCTTTTTTAAGGAAAATTTAAAAATACACATATTTTAATAATTAATTTATGAATAAATGCTTTATTTTTACCAATTTACCAATTTTACCAATTTTGATTTGCTTTTTTAAGGAAAAAATGATTTTTTTAGTAAAATTTAAAAATACACACATTTTAATAATTAATTTATAAATAAATACTTTTTTTATTCAATTTTGTTGAAAAAATATAATTTTTCTAAAAATTTGGAAAATTGGACAAAAATTACAATTTGTAGTACAGATAATTCGGGAAAAAATTGCAAAAGTAATTTTATTTTAAATTTTCCAATGTTTCTATTTATTTCCGTTTTTCCCGAAAAAAATAGGTTTTCGGAAACTTTAAACTAATAATTTATATAATATAAATTTTAATTTATTACAATAGTTAAAAAACCTTGGTAAACATATATCTTGAAAGCAAAGCATGTTGGCTTCATTTGCATGAAATGTATAATTCAACATTTAAAATACCTACTTAAAAATCGTCAAAATTAAATTTTTGGAACCCATAAATCTTTTATTAGTCGTTTTTAATTTATTAACTAATTTGGTTTTACTGTAGTAGTAATTTAAAATTTCAATTCGCCCATTTAAACGGTGGGCAAAATTTTACTTTGCTCACTAGTGGGCTGAAGTTAGCTTTAAGTTAAAATTCATTTTGCATAACTCTTTTATAGGCGCATAAAGGCAGATGCATTTTTATAAAGTCGGAGCTTGAGGATTATATTTTCGACTAAACTAGGTGGTTCTGGGCAATTAATTATAAATTTTTACTTACACAACATTGAGAATTTGTAGGTTTATTTTAATTTTTTGACAGATGAATTTTTATAAAATCGGAGCTCGAGGTTCAAATTTTTAAATGAACTAGGTGGTTTACACATAAACACTGTATAATATACAAAGGATATTAAAAAATAGTTATTTATGTCATTAGGTTAAAAAGTAAGGCTTTTTGTGCTAAGCTCAAGGTTTGAAGGCCGACGCGTAGCGGAGGCCTACAATTGAGCGAAGCACAAAAAGGCACTTCTTGGCCGAATGGCATACAACATTTTATCTCCAAAGCACCTTATATAGGTCAATTTAATTCAACATCAAAGCGGCCTAACCTCACTTTTTTAGAATCTCATTTATTTATTAGCTAAAGATTACATTAAATGTACAATAATAAATATTTTTAATTAATAGGTAGGTATCTTATTCCAATTTGTTTGGATTTTTATTTAATAAATAGGTAGTTTGGAATGTTTAAGCTGTGTTTAACATTTAATTTCACTGAAAACTTAAAGCAAATTAAAACTTAAAGATTATTTAAATCGGAGAAAAAAAATCACTTTTTGTTTTATTATTCATATTTAATTTTACAATAATTTAATGAGAAAATTAAACATTAAAAGGAAAACAAACAAATTAGTGCTTATTATAAATAAATTAAACCAGTTTAGTACGTTAATTTCTTAGAAAAGGATTAATTTGTCAAATGCCTCATAAAATTTTTTATCGGCCAATAAAGTTTAAATTATAGACCGCGTGGAGATAATAGTTATTTATGTATTAAGGGCATAATAAGGTTTTTATGGTCCGAGGCGCTATTTCGAGCCCGAGCGCGTTAGCGCGAGGGCTAGAAAAGCGTCGTAGGACCATAAAAACCAGTTATGCCAGCAATGCATACAAAACTTTATGCACGATTAATATATTATTATTTTTAATATATTATTGTTTTTAAAGACGTTTACGTCAAAGATTTTTGGTTATAATTGTCATATTATAATGTCAACTGACATCAGTCAGTTTCAAAGTTTAAAGATGAATGAAATTGAGGAAGCAGCTGAAAAGGCAAAAAATTGCGGCCTGCTGCCGGAAAAATCAAAATCTATATACGAAAAAACTTACTTCGAATATATCAAATGGTGTAACATTGTTGTTTTTAATTTTTGACGTTTCATTATAGCCCGCTGGGTCATAATAACGCCCGCGGGCTATAAAAAGACGTTTACGTCAAAGAATTTTTGTTATAATTGTCATATTATAATGTCATCGTGCATAAACAATATTATGTAATAGGAGTAAAAAAAAATTATAACCATCCTTAAATACAATATTTTTTGTGAAATTTGAAAAATATATTACTTACTGGTCATACCAGGTTGGCGGTAATTTTTGTTAACCTGTTTTTATTTTTGCATAACTCTCTTATAGGCGCATAAAGGCAGATAAATTTTTAAAAAGTCGGAGCTCGAGGTTCATATTTTCGAATAAACTAGGTGGTTTTGGGCAAGTAATTAAAATTTTTTACTTATATTCCATTACACAAAATTGAGAATTTGTAGGTTAAACTTTATTATTATTATTTTCGAAATATAATTCAAAATAGACATGTTAAAGTTGTATTTGTACTCACCTTTATCTGTACTATAAATTTTTTACACTATTTTTATATTTATATGTACGCAACACCTTTTTTAACACGAAACTGACAAGATTCCGAAGTATGAGTATTTTTGACGATTCTTTCATGTATCTGCGCAGTAACTTCCACTTTGCAGTTTAAAATTTTAGGTAATAATCCGTAAAGAACAAATGCGTTTTTATAATGTTTTAAAAATTGTGTTTTGCCGCGTAAATTTACCTTTCAGACCACAGTACGGCGCTCTTATACGTTTAATTTATTTTATTGGCTTCCCAAATAATTATATTCGACTAAAAAAGCCAAAAAATAAAAAAACTATCAATATTATTTTGTTTCTCTAATTAGGGAGTAAATAGCTGCTTGTACCAGACAGACGTATATTTATATCGCTTCACAAACGATATAAAAATAACCAGGGCATTTTAAATCTAGAATCCTAAAAGGTAATTATTTTATAAGGTTTCGTTCAACAGTGTATAGCTCTGCAAATCCCAAGGTGCATAATCACCTCACCGACCAGGACTAAAGTGCAAAGTGTATAGTGTCACTTCTGCCATCCACCTGAACAGGTGGTTCATTATGGCGGGAAACTGATATCAAATCAAATCAAATCATTTATTGGTGTTATTTACAAAAAGTTGTATTACACAAGTCAGATAGAAAAAGAACTTTACATGACATAAAGAATATATAAAAAATGAAAAACATACATGACAATACAATTCATTATAATTAGAACCAATAAAATGCCAGTATTCCATGGTTACGCATTTTATCACAGCGACAATATTTTTTATCACCTTGTTTACACGTTGCTAAGGATTTTGACACTTTTCTTAATTTGACATTTGTTAAATACTGTGTTTGTTAAATGATTAAAATAATGAATTATAAACTCTAAAAGATCGATGGGTTGGTGTAAACGATAATAAAATTAAGGTAAGTTTGAATAAATAAGGTTTATTAAAGTTTTTTTTATATTTTAAAGCACATTTTAATTTCAAATTTCAAACTGACAATCCGTTAAATCCTAAAATTCATTATATTTTCTCACTAAATATAACTCGTGGTATGATTAATTATCGATTATATTTACTCATTGAAACCGAAGCAGCACATTTCACTCGTCCTGCGGACTCGTGAAATCTGCAGCTCGGTTTCAATTCGAAAATATCATCGATGATAATCATACCACTTGTTATATTATGAGTGACAATATTTATGTGTACAAAAGATGTATAAAAGAATATTTATCACAGGGTTGGTATATCACAGTTTAAAAACTCATCACAGTCATAGAAAGCCTTATTAAGGAACATCTTATTTCTAGTTAAAAATAGTTCTGAATCTAGGTTTCTAACAGCAACAGGAAGTTTATTAAAGTATTTAGGTGCAGTGAAGGCAATACTTTTATGAGATTTTTTAAGTCTTTACTGTACTCAGACATGAGGAAACAAGGAGCATCAGCAAAATTCGGATAAGTATTTAATTAATATTTGCACGACGCTATTTGCAATACTAAAAACTTGTAATTTCGTTATTTACCAAGCTTACAAAGGCTCCGGGTTTCTACCTTCTTAAGTAGAAAAATCCGCAGGAATAACAAAAATACATTTAGATAAAAAACAACATCAAAATGGATGAACAGGGAATAATAAACCAACATCGTAATAGACCAAAAATACCTATACATCAAAGCAAGTTCGACTTAAAAATTAAAACAAGCATATTCGACAAAAGGACGTGACTTAAAAGTTAAAAAACTCATAAATCTTAAGTAGGTAACACTCTAAACCAATTTCTGATCGTCTAACATAAACATAAACAAATAAACCACTCAACACCCCAACATAGTATAGAATAATTGCGCTTACCATTTGTTTAACTTAATAAATAAATGCAATACCTTATTGTTAGAAAAGAATAAAAAAAACAAAAATAAAATTTATATCACAAAATGTGCTTGGGCAGCACAATAACTATAAATTATTAGAAAATTTCGCATTACTGCGGAAATACACATTTAAAAAAAAAACAACAAAAACTATCGATAACTATCGGTAGTTACGTGGCCGACTACTGAAAACTATCATCCGTATCGATAGTTTTCGACCTCTAGAATGAAGAAATGGTTTCGCACAGTATGGTAGACAACTGGCGTAGAGCGGTTCCCGAAAGCAGAAATTGGGCGTATGGCCCGACCCGGCAACAAAGTTGGCCTTAATCACCGACATTGCCATCTACGACCTACCAAGGAAGATCTACCAGCCGGCGCACAGTTCCAATTCTCGAAATTTTCGGCAAAATATCAAGGAGTAGTCGGATTATCCTGAAAATCCGTATAGGTTTTTGAGGTCGCTGATAACGAATCTGGAATCAGAATTCCAAAATTCAAAATGGTAGATCCAAAATGGCGGACATATTTGTCAAAAAATTGACGGAATAAATTGAAAATCACCATACAGTGGTTTTTAGGGTCGCTGATAACGAATCTGGAATCAGAATTCCAAAATTCAAAATAGTAGATTTAAAATGGCGGAGATATTTGTCAAAAAATTGACGGAATAAATTGAAAATCACGATACAGAGATTTTTGAGGTCGCTGATAATGAATCTGGAATCAGAATTCCAAAATTCAAAATGGTAGACTTCAAATGGCGGACATTTTTATCAAAAAATTGTGAAAATTAATTAAAAACTCGTAAGAGGTTCTTTTTAAAATGTAAATAAAAGATTTTTTTTATAAAATAGCTTAATTTAGTTTATTATAATTACATTTATTTGATATTATTTAATACCTACATATATATTACACAATCTCCGTTACTGGATTCGCTAAAAAAATTGTCAACACAAATAACCATAATTCAAATTTGACATTAACACACTACAATGCGCATGCGGAGTTATTTGATATTATTTAATACCTACATATATATTACACAATCTCCGTTACTGCATTCGCTAAAAAAATTGTCAACACAAATAACCATAATTCAAATTTGACATTAACACACTACAATGCGCATGCGGAGTTGTTTTAACGCACCTACAAGAGGTGGGTTAAATATGTAAAATCATATAATCAAATATCTTAGTAGACACGAACGATTTACGCAAGTGAAAGTCTAGACACCGCTGTTGTAATAAACGTTTTGAGTTAAATCCGAGTGAATCAAGTAAACGTCATGAACGCAACCCAGAAATAAAAAAAATCTTATATTTTGTAAAGCAAAAACACAGATACGCGCGCGACATAAGCTTAAACTCGCGAGGTTTTTTACCATAACCGTGCCTGAGCGCCCAAGAACATGTAGTTTTAAAGAGCCGGGGGCAAGTTGGGGCAGATAATTTATTGATGGCTTGATAGACAAAACTCTAAGCTATTCAACGGATCTTGAACTGATGCCTTACAATTCATTACAATTTTTGTAGCTCCATTGTTCTAAAAGCTCGATTTAAAGTTTGCGATTTTAACAGACTAATCTTGTCGGTTACGATAACCCGTTGTACAAGCAAAATCTACGAAAAACAAATATATATTTGAATTTTACATACCTTGAAGATCACCCTTTATCAAACCGCATAACAATCGGACACACCAAACGCAAGTTATTCACTTTTAAACAATAAACAATTTTCCGCAGCGATCGCGTGTAAAGTACCTTAAAGACAAAATATATGTATTTTATATCTTTTTTTTCAATACAGGATGGAGACAGGTATTAACTACCTATCTAACTCAAAATTTACCTGAAAAAAGTCAATTTTTTAGGTTTTGCCGATATTTTCGAGAATTGAAACACTGTGCGGCGTGAAAATTCGGATCCAACAAACACAGGCAATGCTGTGCAGTTGCGGGATACGTAGGAGAACTGAAAGGGGGTAAAATAACCCTGGGAGATCAGTTTAAAGCGAAGTCGATGGGGCCTGCCATACGTCCCCATACTTATAATCATACTCATACTAATTAGGGAGTAAAAAGGAGAGCCTTGCGGCGCCCCTGAACTGTGGGCGCAAACTTTGTGAACTTCTAAAATAGACGGTAGAACCAGTTTTTTTCACTATGTTTATTCGAAAATAGGTTTTGGCAAATTGTCCATAAAGTTATGGTAAAATTTCGTTACAAATTTTATAAAAAAATATTTTTTTTTATTTTTTATTTATTTTATGTGAACATGTGTATGTATAATTTTAAATATTATTATTATAATATTATTATATAAAATGTTAAAGCACATTTAATAATTTAAAAATATATTTAAAAGCATATTCATCCACATGTTTTCCAAAAAAGAAGTCTGCATGATTTAGCCCACTGGTAATTTTTCTTCCATATATTTTGGTTGAATTTTGAAGCTTACTCCACAGTAGATCATTATCCTAAACCAAAGAAATGTTAAAAAAAAAATAATCAAAACAAAAATATAAATAAAAAACCTTAACATCGCAAAGATGATCGTCCTTACTAGTTATAAAATAATTTGGAATCTCCATATTTTCCAATGGGTATTCTGGAGGTGTAACCGATTTGTAACGTTTAAAATTTTCAGTAATACCGTAGTCAAACTTTCTAAAATGATCTCCTCCATTGTTAACTAATTGTAGGTAGTGCCAAATCACATTTAAACCAGCACCTCTTGGAAGTCTTGAAAATACCAAAGGATACAATTTCTAAAATATTTCATCTAATAGTTATGTAAAGACAAGCCAAATATGGTTTCTTACTGGATCATACTCTTCAGGTGTCCAACCAACATTTAATTCTAGAATCTTAACATTGAAACGTCTAAATGGAGAATTTACCAATGATCTCATAATTCTTTCACTTATAGAGTTTTTGTAGAACAATCCACCAATACCAAGTAATTTACAAAGAGGCTGTGGGTATAAAAATATAAAATTAACTTTTATAAATGATTTAGTTTATATTTACCATTAAAATTGGTTCTAGTGGGGTGAAAAGCCTTGCAATAGTAGGAACGTATTTAAAATATACAGGAGCAGCCATTTGTATAAATACTTTAAAGTGTTTTTTAACATGCTCAGGCATAACCGAAGCATATATTATTGAAGACGTACATGCCATAGATTGACCAATAAATATTATTTCAGTATTATTTGATACTTTCGATATTTTTTCGGCAAATGCTGGGTAATCTATCAGACCAATTTCATCAAAACTAAAAGTTCAGTGGTATTATTTTTATTAATAAAAGTATAATAGTAACGCTATCGACCTATCCAGCTTATCCAGCTTATAGGCAAAGCCCGGTACTTCCCCTGTAACCACTTTTTACCATGGTACAGTTGTACTCATCTACCGACTTTTACATGCACAACAGCCAAGGCTGTGACCGGGGATCAAACCCGGTACGACTGACGCAGTTTGTCTCGGCTTTGTAGCTTAACCCACTGCGCTATCGAATTATTAAATTTACCTAAATGACCAGTATTTAAAATCATGTACTGTTAAATTTACATGTCCTTCGGAAAAAAAGGTTCCTCTATGGTTGGGTAGCCATACTTCATACCCCAATTTCCATAATTTTAAAGCTAAAATTAATTAAAACATATTTTATAAAACAGCATTTAAAAGTATCAGGAAATTGTAATTTTAAACACATGGTAAAATGATTTTCCAATTTGTTTTGTTGAGTCAAATCAGAATCTATTGAGATTTTTTTTGCCGTTTTTTTACCATGGCAAAAATTTTGGAACAAAGAACGTGTTGGGAATTGGCCGAAATGTTGGTTCTGAAATATTACAGAAAGCATTCGGCAATAATGGTATGTCCAAAAATCAGGTAAACAAATATTACAAAAATTAAAAAAAAAACAAAAACAAAGTAACTTTTTGTTTGATTGACTAGAAAATGCAAATTCATTAGTGGTCAAGTCTTCATTATTTACTTTTCAAATTTACTCAAATGTTTGACTAAAAAATTAAATAAAAAATAAAATAAGAATTAAGTACTAAAACCAAAAAGAGCAAAATCCCTTTATAATAGTTTTTAAATATTTGAGGAAATCTGCTGTACATATCTGTAAATATCTCAGAATCAATTAAAGTAAATTTATCGGCTTTTGCTTCACACTTTCTGTTTAAAATTACTACAAAAAAATATTTTAATCATTCCCGATTTTGTTTCAAAAGACCACATGTTTGCCGAATAATTCTTACGTCTTCCCAAAATAAATGAGTAATTTCTTTCGTCTACTATATTCAAATCGTTAGTCGGCATTAGCTGCAGCTGGCATTAGTCGCCAGCTAATAAAACTTTCGAAAATACCGACTAAAGAAAAATGAGGATCCGATTTCTATTTCGTATCTATAATTAAATAAATTAAGCATTTTTTTCCAAAATCACCTTAAATTTATTCCCTTTTAGGAAATATTGGAATATATTATCAAAACCCCGAAAAATTCCACTCCTCGCTATGTCCCTGGGCACCATGTGATTTTTCCCTGTTTTCCAAGATGAATTTTTAATTAATTGTAGCTTCTTAAAACGCGTTTAAAAGACATAAAAGAAAATACACGGAGCTGAAACTTTCAGAAAGCCTTACCCAACTTTAGCCTTTGAAAAGGGTTTTAAAGATTGGGATAAGCGCTAGTATATGTCAAAAAATAATAATGAATAAACTGACCAATCGCGTTTTATATACCTACAATTTTCCAGTACTGGGCACGGGTATCTTTTATCTTTTACATAGTTGGTTAAATTAGAAAAAAGTTGCTTATTTTTATGCCGATCAATTATCTAAAAATATATTATCACTTAACTTATCAATTTTGGTTTTTAAGATATAGTAAAAAAGGGGAATTTGTAATTTTTTTAATTACAAAATGGTTGCCTTTTTTAATTAAGACATTATTAAAGAAAATTTAAATCTGACAAAATTGTTTTTGCTACTTTTAAAAGGAAGATAAGCAAGATTTTCACCCTCGAAAAACGGACTTATACAGGGTGTCTTAAAAGTCAAGGACAGCAGAAAATGGGTGGATAGAGGAGGCAGTAAGTTTTTAATTAAAATAATTAATAAATATTTTTCTGACAATACAATTCATTAATATTAGAACCAATAAAATGCCAGTATTCCATAGTTACGTATTTTATCCCAGCGGCAATATTTTTTATCACTTTGTTTACACGTTGCTAAGGATTTTGACACTTTTCTTGATTTGACATTTGTTGACATTTAAATACTGTGTTTGTTTAATGATAAAAATAATAAATTATAATCTCTAAAAGATCGATGGGTTGGTGTAAACGATAATAAAATTAAGGTAAGTTTGAATAAATAAGGTTTATTAAAGTCTTTTTATATTTTAAAGCAAATTTTAATTTTAAATGTCAAACTGACAATTCGTTAAATCCTAAAATTCATTATATTTTCTCACTACATATAACTCGTGGTATGATTAATAATCGAAGATATTTACTCATTGAAACCGAAGCAGCACATTTCACTCGTCCTGCGGACTCATGAAATCTGCAGCTCGGTTTCAATTCGAAAATACCATTGATGATAAACATACCACTTGTTATATTATGGGTGACAATAATTATTAATTTTATATTAAAATTGCTTTCAACATCTAAATGTTTGTATACGATATCAGTTTTTTTACTTAATGTTTATTTTAAAATTTTTAGTGCTGTCTTTTTAGTTTTTAGTATTTGGGTTTAGTTTTTTTTTAGTATTTTGACTATTTCAACACATATATGTGTATCATGAAAATTATTATTATTATTATTGTTTACTTACTATAATATAATATAATAAGTAGATAATTTATGAATATATAGGGTGTCACAAAAATCAAAGACAGCAGAAAAGGGGTGGATAAAGGATGGGATTCTAAGTCGAATCATCTGCCGTTTTTTTATCAGACAAACCATTCATAAAATAGCCAACCACAGGCGTGCTCTAGCAGAATGATTAGAGGTTTTGCAACACAAAAGGTTGTAGAAACTCAATAGCTATACGTATCATATTATGAAATGACCTTAATTTTATTTGTTCACTGTCACTGTCAGTGCTTTGGTTTTTTAGGTTAAGGAGAAATGTTCTTTTTTGTGTGTGACAAATAGCATAGATTAATAACCAAATAGGTAGGTACCTACCTTTTTTTTTTGATATTTTTTAACTTGCCAATTAATGACCAAGTAAATACAAGGTTGATGGTGATTATTTTACTTTTTTTAAATGAAAAGAAATGCTGGAGAACGTTAGAATGAACATCATTAAAAGTTGTTAAATGTTCTTGCAGACATGGGCGGATTTAGGCATGGGCATTATGGGCTGCAGCCCAGGGCCCCGTCCGATCGAAGGTAGAGGCCGCGATTAATAAAAAGAATATAAATAAAATTAATCGATTAAAAATCGACTTTTTAATAGTTGCATAAAAGTTAAATATTGAGCCTGAGGTTTTATTATTATTATTAAGGCCTCATCGAGATTTTCTATTTTACATTTAAAAAGCATGAAGAAAGAATAACTTTGGTATTATATATCTTATTAACGGATTCATGGACTTAAATGACTTAAATTTTTTTTAAAGGCTATTTAAAGTAAACTCTACTAGGAGGTCTTGTATTATTTTATAATCTATTTATCTATTAAAAGTTATTCAAGCATAAAATTACATTTATGCTTACTTTTCCGCTAAAACTATAAGACTTATAACAGAACTTTGGTATTTCATTTTATTTTTCAAAAAATTGTGTAATTTTATAATTTTTTAAACATAGTTTTAAAGTTGGGTACTGAAAAAAAATCTCATGTACCTACTTAATGTAAATGTAAAATCGTGATTAGCAACCAATAATATTAATGGGAGATATTTTAACAGGCTCATGAGGCTATTAAATATTATAAAAAAATAGAAATTTTTTGTTAATCAGTGTAATATATTATTATTTTAGTTCCAAGAGCTAGTGCTAGTGTATTTTTATTCATTTGCAAGAACTAATGCTGGTGTATCATCGCCTGTTTCAGCTTTCACAAATTATTGAATAATGATTCTTTAAAATTTATTACTAATGTTTATGTTAAGCATAGTAATAAGTAAAGCTGTAATTTTTCATCTTATGGTCATACTTGAGTAGTTTTGTATATGTTAGGTTTTCATGTTTCTATTATTATTTTTTGTTTATGTATAATTAGGTAATTATGTATTTGCTATTTTTCCTGTATTTGGAGTTTTTCTGTTGGGCAATTTAACCAAGAAATATTTATGTGGTCTTGTATGAATGGTAGAATGTTTTATTTATATTATTTATTTTATTTATGTTATTTATTTATTTTATAAAGTGTTATTTCAATTTTTTATTTTTGACGAAAATTTCTCGTTTTGTTATACAAGGTGTCCCTAAACTTAGTGGCATAAATTTAGGAGCAGATTAAGAAAGTCAAAATAAGACGAAAATCTAAATAAATAGTTTTCCTAATTACGAATGTTTAAAAGATTCAGGGTGATAAAGTATGACTTATCATATCAGTTTTTTTAATGTTACTTCTACTACCTATGTTATTTTGCGAACAGTCACTTACTACCAAAACACATATTCAAACATAATTACAATTGTTCGAGTGAACACAGTGTAGTAGAAACAGGGGTTGCTTAAGCTTATTGTCCCATACAAACTTTGAGGTTAGGTTTTTATACCATTTAATGCAATTTTTCGATTACTCAGTTCGGCTACTATTAAAAAGGTGTACCTCTCAAACTTCGATAAAATAAACCGTTTCTGAGATATCCGAGATTACAATAATTGTTATATCGCATTAAAGGACTAAAAAGTATATGACAACAAATTTTATAATTGAAAAAACTACAATTTTTTTTAATGTGACGGTCAGGGCAAAATGGAATGAAGATTTAGTTTTTTCAATTAAAAAATTAAATTTGTTATCATATACCTTTTAATCCTTTTAAATAATGCGATATAACAATTATTGTAATCTCGAATATCTAGGAAACGGTTTATTTTATCGAAGTTTG